ACAGGTCATAGTGGTGCACACCTGTAATCCCAGCACTCGGAAGGCTGAGGCACGAGGATCACAGTGAGTTCGAGACCAGCCTGGGCTACATAGTGAGTTCCAGGTCAGTCTCAACTACATAATGAGACCCTGTCTCAAAAAACCAAAAAAAAAATTTTTTTTTTTTATTTTAAAAAGAAGAAAACAAAATATAGTACCCAAAGCCAGGTGTGGTGGCACACATACCTGTAATCCCAGCACTTGGGAGGCTGAGGCAGGAGGATCCTCACAAGTAGGCCAGCCTGGGCTATATAGTGAGTTTAAGGCCACCTTGAACTACATAGGGAGACTCTGTCTCAATTATAATGATGATGATGATGCACCGAATTAAAGAATCTACTCTTCTGCCTTTTTAAGTATACGTTTTAAATTTCTGAATTTACTGTAAACATGTACATATCTTTATCATTTCAGATACTGGAGGCTAAAAGATGACTTATTTTAATGTACAGGTACCAAGAAGTTAATTTTTGCAGCAGATATAAACTTAGTTACCTCTAAAAACTTAGCTAGTAAGTATTCTTTCTAAACATATTGGGATGTGTAAAAACTCACCATTTCTGACTATGTTGATAAGTGCACAACAGGGTGGATTATCTCATCCAGCTGGGGGAAGTGTTAATTGACAAAATGTTCTGGAAAGCTCTTTAGCGGTGTATATCCAGAGCCTTTCAAAAAGGCCTATTAAAAAGTACGCACCACCTATAAGTGTTTTGGTAAATATTCTTACCAAAAAGAAACTGACCTGAAGGGCTGGGGATTTAGCTCAGCGCTTCGGTGGCCTGCCTTGCAAGCGCAAGGACCTGAGTTCGATCCCCGGTACCAAAAAAAAAAAACCAAGTATATGATATTGCTATGCATGTGGCACATGCCCATAATCCCAGCACTCTAGGAAGCTGAGGAAGAAGGGTCACGAGTTTAAGCCCAGGCTGGCAACTTGGTGACTTCTCAAAATAAAGAATAAAAATAGGCTGGGGATATAGCCCCTGGGTTCAACTGCTAGTAACAGAGAGGCAGGCAGACAGGCAGACAGACAGACACAGACACACAGACACACACACACACACACACACACACACACACACACACAGTATATAACTATGTAAATGCATATTCATAAGAAAAAGACTAAAAGACATGCCCAAAATATAAACATTGATGGAGCCAGGTATGGTAGCACACACCTGTAATCCCAGCACTTAGGAGGCCAAGGCAGGAAGATCGCCAGGAGTCTGAGGCCATCCTGGGCTCAGCAGTGCATTCAAGGCCAGCCTGAGCCACATAGCCAGGCCCTGCCTCAAAAAACCGAAACAAATATTGGTAGAATAAGGGCAGGGGATTTGGTTCAGTAGCGCCCATGCCTACCTTTCAAGTGAAAGGTCCTGAGTTTGATCCCTAGTACCAAAAAAAGCAAATATTGGTAGAATGCGTGATTATTGCTTTATCTTTGTCTGTAATTTCCTGTTTTTCAAAAAAAAAAGCAAAAATAATGTTTTTCCTTTTATATTACTATATTTTAACCCTCAGTGCTCTTCTTGAAAGAAGTCATTATACCCATCCTACATGAAACTGTTGCTTCAGTTTCTAAAGAACATTAAGTCACTCGCTAACTTTAAGTCCACAACATAGTCAGCCAACATCCTACAAATTTCAGTCATAGAATGATTTGTCAGATCTTCAACTCCATAAAGAGTAACAAAAACAGTCTTACATAGAATAACTTAGAAAAACAAAAAAAAGCTTAGTTCATTTACACCTGACCCTATGCTTGATATGAGGCATAAAATAAATGAAAACAAAAATAGACTCTTCCCCTAAGAAGGTCCTAAGCTGAATAAGAAACAAGAGGCTGGCCGGGGATGTAGCTCAGTGGCACTGTGCCTGCCTGGCAAGCACAAGGTCCTGAGTTTGATCACTGGTAATAGTGGGGGGTGCGTTAACAAGAAATAAGAGGCTGCCTGTTACAGTCTAGATTTAAAATTCCTTCTCTCTGCTCACTTGAGCAGCACATACACTAAATGTCCCCTCACCCCCAAAGTCCATGTATGAAAAGCTCAGTGCCCAGCTTGTGCTGCTACTGGGAAGCGGCAGAAACTTACAGAAGTGACACATACCAGAAGGTTTTAGCTCACTGAAGAAGTGCCTGCCTTCAAAGAGGATTGCTGCTGGGTCCTAGTCACCCCCCGCTATGAGATATAAAGTTTTGTCACATCCTCCCTACCACCATGTTCTACCTTACTACAGGCCAAAGAACAACAGAGCCACTTGATCATGGACAAAAATCCCTAAAAAGTGTAACCCAAAACAAAGCTCTCATATAAATTGATTAGCCCAAGCATTTGCTATAGTAATAGAAAGCTGACTTATGTACTGGTCCTGCCTATTCAGCTAAAATTCAAGAGATTGAGATAAAATAAATTTTGTGAGAAAGAAACTACCCAAGTCATCAGGATCTACTCAAACTATGCTTTGAGTATCCAACAAGGCAAATGAAAGACCTAATTTTGCTCCCATAATTCCAAAATCAACTCAGCCAGAATTCCTACTTTATAGTATCAGACTAGGACCTTGATTTATAGTGCTCTACAACTACAAATAACTCCATTAGTAAGAGTTACCACTTGCTAGACACTCTATGTACATTATCTCTAAATGAGAAAACTGAGATTCAGAAAGTCAAGTTACCTGCCAGGAAAATTTAGTGTTTTAAATTTGAAATAACATACTGGAACTGCTGCTTCCCTCTAAGCAAACTTGATGTTCTTTATTACCAAAATCAGAGAAACTTTAACCACCTGGAACCTCCTGTTTACCTGGAGAAATCCAAGAGCCTCCACTCTTTTCTCCAGTGGGGCTGTAGTCATTGAGATTACAGAGACAAGCTTGCTGAGCCAAAGCTTGTCCCAGTGACAGCCAGAACCAAATGAGATCCTTACTATATTCTCAGTGACTTTTCAAACACAATCAGATTTCTAGAGCTCCATTAGTATCTCCCTGCCTTGAGGCACCTGTCTAATAAGGTGTTTCTTCTTTGCTGACTCTGGCATATTGTGGACATGCTGGAAGAGCTCTTTCAGTGCCTCTTCTGTACGCTGCTGGACCTCCTCCTGCTGAGAGCAGGCATATGCCTGGTTCCATTTCTGAGATGTTCCCAGCTGGAAAGACTTAGCATGACATGAAGCTGTCAGATCAAGGTCATCCTAAAGAAAATTTAAAAGAAATATGAATTAATGTCTTACTGGCTTTGTTTTTGAGTTTCCACAAAAATCAGGGGGGAAAAAGGCATGGGAACTTAATATATACTCCAATACCCAAGAATAAGAAAGATCTTATAACCATGAGACAAAGAATCTATTAGTAGGGGCCGGGAATTTGGCTCAGTGGTTCCACCGCCTGCCTCACAAGCACAAGGGCCCAAGTTCAATCCCCAGTACCATAGGGAAAAAAAATCTATTAGTAAAGGTTAATAGTCCACTCTCTCAACCTGCCCAGAGAACCTAAATGCATCTAGAATATTGCTACCAAGAGTTACGTTTGCAGAAGACTTCAGTTTCTAAAACATCATTTCATCTCATGTAATCTTCACTGCTATCTTACAAGATAAGCCAGACAAGTATCATCAGTCCCACTGAAAAACTGAGATTAAGTTATAAAGTCACCTAGACGCTGAAGTGACAGGTACACCATGGAACACAGGGTATAGCTTCTTGGCTAGTGCTCTTTCCCATACATGACAATTTAATGTGACAACTACTTGGCAGTGGTAAAAGAATAAAAACAATAACTCTTTAAGAAAAGCAGCATTCTAATTAAACTAATCAAATACTGTTTTCCTGGACGCACTAAATACTTCTCTAACACATCGTGGTAAGGTTTTTCTAACTTTACATTATTAAAACTCAATAATTGTGGGGCCAGGGATTTAGCTCAGTGATGTCAATGCCTGCCTCACAAGTGCGACGACCCAAGTTCGATCCCCGGAAAAAAAAAAAAAAAAAAAACCTCAATAATCATATGTAATCTTCTATTAATAAGTATCACACATTTCCCTGTTTAAGATCCTTTGGCCTTGTCTTTTTTTAGCCACTTGATAGTTTTACCATGCCACTGAATTATGAGTAAGAATGAATTATATAAAACTGTATTTTTGTTATTATAAAGTATTTAATATATTTGCTATATACAATTGTATTGTTTTTATTTTCTATTTCCCATAGCTTCATTTGATTTCTTGTTTGGGGTTTTTGGTTTGTTTGGGTTTTTTTTCTTTTTTAAATCTTCTAACCTTAATTCTCCTTGCCTGAACTAAGAATAGTTTCCTTTTTACACTTAGTTACACTAGCTAAACTGTTTTGGTATTTGAACATGGTTTGTCTCCCAAAGGTTCAATCCTAGAAGCTTGGTCCTCAATGTCATGGTGCTCAGGTGGTAAAACCTTTAAGAGGTGGTTCTAATGGAATGTAATTAGGTCATGGAGATTCCATCTCCAGGAATACAGTACTGTACTCCTGCAGAATGGGTTAGATCTTACGGGAGTGAGTTAATTCTTTCGACAGTGGGTTGTTATACAGTGAGGCCACCTCCTATACCGAGTCTCTTTGATACAAAGCTGTTTCCCTTTCTACCTCTCTGTTAGGTTCTGATATAGCTAAGGATCCCGGTACCATACTGTTTGGACCTTCCAAACACTAGCATCATGGGCCAATAAATTACTTATAAAGAAAAAGAGAAAGACAGACAAACACAGACAGAAGCAAAGAAAGAAAGAAAAAGAAAGTTAGTTTTGTATTCTTACCTTTGACAATTGAGTTCTGGAGCCCAAATAATGCAATCTGGCACATTCCCGAATATAACCAGGAGCCTGAACAGAACATAAAAGAAAACCAAGACCCAGTGTTGAGCAATACCTAAAATTCTTTCATGTCATACGCACACACAAAAAATGGTTCTCAATATATCTGACTGGTAGATTACTTTGGAGAGGCCAAACATTACCCAAAATGCCCTATTCTATAGCTTCCTTTTTCTTGACACCAAATAGATAGATACCTTAACAAATGTGATGGGAAAACTGTGAGAAGATACTGATATAATGGTTGCTATTTTTAAAAAATCAAATATCACCAGTGATTTAGCTCAGTGGTGCCTCTGCCTGCCTCGCAAGTGCCAGCTAGGCCTGGAGTTCAATCCCCATTACAAAAAAAATAAAATAAAATATGGCATGTATACACTTAAGTGAGCCAGACACAAAAATATAGACATTTCAGTAATGCTTACATCTGACCAAAAACATCTCCAAAATCCTTACAAATTGCAAGGGGGTCTCCAGAATCATTATATAGAAAATATCATTTATGATTATTGTAGGATAGAATTATGTGACAAGTCTTAGTAGTAGCATAAAATAATACAGCCATTCTTTTACTAAGTGTAAAATAATATAATACTGTGGAGAATAAGGCAATCTAATGAATTACATTTGCATTTACTCATCCAGAAATCTCACTTCTGAAAATCTATCCTGATGATATAACTCCAGAAATCAAAACATACTTTTCTAAGATACAACCTAAATATACAACCAAAAGATACAACCTAAATATTCATTAACAGGAAACTGATTAGTAAGCTTTTAAAAATCCATACAGCACAATACTGTGCAGTCACTAAGAGGTAAAAAAAGAAAAGGAGAAAAACAGAGAGCAAGAAAGAAGAGACAAACAGAAAGACAGACTGAAAAAAAAGACAAAAGAGAAAAAGAAAAAGGAAGGTGGTCAAGAGAAAGGGAGGGAGGCAGGGATACAGAATAGCATGTAGGGGCCGGGGATTTAGCTCAGTGGTTCCACCTCCTTCCTTGCAAGCACAAGGTCCTGAGTTCGATCCCCGGTACCAAAAAACAAAAAAGAAAAGAAAAGAAACACTAAGAAGATAAACTAAAATTAAGGAAATTGGTTAGGGAATAATTTCTCTAAATAAAACTTTTAATACAGTTTTGACTTCTGAATCATATGAATATATTACAGGTTCAAAAAGTTAAAATTAAATCTGCAAGGAAAAAACAAGAACGAAAATAGGAAAAAAATGAACCTACCTATATATTAAATTCGCAAAATGAGTACAGAGAAATAAATTATTTCATAAAACTTTATTCTGATGATACATCCTTAATGGCTGTATTCAAGCAAAAAGGAACCATAAGGAAATCTTCAACTTCAGTTAGCAAATTTACATAGTTTACTATTAGTAGCAATCACTGTATTATTTTGAAACTAATCTAAGTATATTGTAGGAAAAAGCAAATAATACATATAAATACTACGAAAACCTGAAATTTGTAGTGTTACAAAAAAAAGCTAGAAATAGGAAATAAAAGAAACCAAGAGCCAGGCATGGTGGTACACGCCAGCAATTCTAGCACTCAAAAGGCTGAGGCAGGAGTTTGAAGCCCTGAGTTTGAAGCCAGCCTGAGCTACACAGCAAATTCAAGGCCAGCTTGAACTGCATAGTAAGTCGCTGTCTCAAAAAAAAAAGCAGCCAGGCCTGGTGGTGCATCCCTGTAATCCCAGCACTGGGGGGCTGAGGCAGGAGTGTCCCTGGGAGTTCAAGGCCACCTGGGCTACTTAGTGAGTTCAAGGCCAGCCTGAAATGCGTGGCAAGATCTTGTCTCAAAAAAAAAAAAAAAAAAACAAGGAAGGCCAGGTATTTAGCTTAGGGACATCACATCTGCCTTGGAAGTGCAAGGTCCTGAGTTCGATCCCCAGTAATAAAAAACAAAAACAAAGGCCAAGAAAAAGCTCTAAATTGTCAAATCTGAATTGGTATTATTAAAATGAACTTAAAATTTCTTCTCTAAAAAAATTTAAAATCAGGCTGGGGAGCCGGGGATTTAGCTCAGTGATTCCACTGCCTGCTTCACAAGCATAAGGTTCCAAGTTCGATCCCCAGTACAAAAAAAATTTTTTTAAATCTACTGCCTTGTCCTCAAAGAACCTAGAAAACACAATGATATCCTAGAAATAATGAATATACCTAACATCATTCAAAGAAACTAGGGCTCCTTGATGAAAATAAATATTCTAGATCCAGGGCAGAGAAAATACAAAGTGAGCTTGGGACTTTTTATGCCATAAAGGAAACACTCAAACACTAGTGGAATCCTGTCAAAAAAAGCAGAATAGGGTGTGACTTAGTGGTAGAGCATTTGCCTAGTATGTGCAAGGCCCTGGGTTCAATCCCCAGGACCACACACACAAAAAAAAGCATTATTATACAGTCCATCAATGCTACTTCTGAATACATAACTAAAAGAACAAAACTCAGGGTCCTGAAGAGCTATTTCATAGCCATGGTTGTAGTGGACTTTTTCGCAGTAGCCTAACCACAGAAGCAACCCTAAGTATCTATCCTCAGATAGCTGGATAAGTAAAATATGTTATATATACAAAATAGAATACTAAGCAACCTTTAAAAAAAAGGAAATCCCATCACATGCTATAGTGCGGATAAAACTTGAGGATATATGAGTAAAATAAGCCAGTCACAAAAACATAAATATTGTATGATTTCACTTATATGAAGTACTTACAGTAATTAAACTCATAGAGACAGAAAGCAGACTGGTGGATGCTAGGGACTAGGTGAGAGGGGAATAGAGAATTATTATTTAACAGTAGAGTGTTTCAGTTTTACAAAATGAGAGAATTCTGAAGACAGATAAGAGCGATGACTGCACACGTGAATGTATTCAATACCACTGAACCATATTTAAAAATGGTTGAGGCTATCATGTCTCTTCAAGATAGCCCGCCTTATGCTGTACAGTGTATTTTTTTCCATTTTTCTTACTTTTACTTGGCCCAAACTTGCTCTGAAGAGCCTATTTTTCCCTACCTTTAATAAATATGAAACTGCAAAAAAAAAAAAAAAAAGTCAAAATAGCCAGGTTTGGGAGTGCACACTTGTAGTCTCAGGTACTCCAAAGACGGAGGTAGGAGAATCACTATTAATGAGTTCAAGAGCAAGCTATGCAACACAGCAAGACTCCCATCTCAAAAAATCTAGATGATCGGTTTTATGTTTGTTTGTTCATTTCAGGGTGAGCGTCTCGAATCTGAAAATCCAAAATCTGAAACTATCTGAGCACCAACATGATGCCACAAGGAAAGTTCCGCCCCTGCTTTCATGTGTTGAATCACCATCAAAACTCAGATGCGCAGCCGGTGGCACACGCCTGTAATCCCAGCACTCGGGAGGCTGAGGCAGGAGGATCGCTGAGAGTTCAAGACCAGCCTGGGCTACATAGTGAGTTCAGGGCCAGCCTGAACTACAAAGGGAGATTCTACCTTAAAAAAAACTCAGGTACAATAAAGATACTGTATAAAATTACCTTCAGGCTATGGGCATAAGGTGTTTATGAAATATAAATGAACTTCATATTTAAACTTGGGTCGCATCACCAACACACTTGTTATGTACTTGCAAACATTCCAAAATCCAAATATGAAATATTTCTGGTATCAAGCATTTCAGGATAAAAGATAATCAACCTGTATTTTACCATAATTTTTTAAATGACTATTAAAATTAAAAAGGAAGGAAATTCTGACACATGCTATAAAATGTGTTAACCTTGAAAATACTTTGCTATGTGAAATAAGACAGTAATAGATACTGTTAGGGTTCTACTTATATGAACTGTGCAGGGCAGTCAAATTCACAGAGACAGCCAGAAGAATGGTGGTTGAGGAGAAGAGAATGGGGAATCACCTTTCAATGGATATAGAGTTTCAATCTTGCAAGATGAAAAGAGTGATGTTTGCATAAAACATGAATGTACCTAATGCCTTAAAATTATACGCTTTAAAATGGTTACGATGGTAAATTTTATAAGTATTTTACCATAAGAAAAAAAAAGGACCCAGAACTGAATGATCTTGGAAATTCTCAGCCTGTCCAAATGGAAAAGATACTAAAAGTAAGAGATTCACTCTCAAAAAAATATACTCTAAAAAAAGGCCAAGGTTACAACTATACAATCTTTCTCTAAAACTAGAAATATCAGGGCCGGGGATTTAGCTCAGTGGTTCCACCACCTACCTTGCATGTGCAAGGTACCGAATTCAACCCCCGATGCACACAAAAACAAAAACAAAAATAGAAACATCAGAAGTTCAGAGTATTCAGTCACACTAGGGCCCTTCTGAGAATGTAAGAGTGCGCTTCCCAGATCATCTCATTTGAACCTTTAGACAGCTTAAAGCAGGAAACCAAGGTAGAGGATTTATCTTCAAAAAATTTGTGTACATAGCTTTTGTCTAATGGAGTGAACCTCCCTGAAATCCACAGAAGACTCACGAGTTCTTGAAAAATTATGTTGGCAGAACCATTGCTTGTTTGGACTGAGAGGACAAAGAGTACAAAATGAAAGGGGCCTGTAGACTCAAAACTCAACTAGGAAGAAGCAGGAAGGACAAAGCTAGGCAGCTGCAGCATGTGCTGCCTTTCATGAAAAGGCAGGATGACTCAGAAGAGCAGAGCTAATTACCTAGAGGACTGGGACCTACTTAGCCTCCTATTCTTCCCCACTTGGTAGGGCTTTGCCATTGCCCATTCTGGTTCCCAGGACCTTTCTTATCTAGAGGTTTACTTTTTCTTCTTATCTAGAATTCCACTTTGTTCCACCTTCCTTATCCTGTTAACAAAATGCAATCCCTCACTTACGTTAAAAAGTTTCTGGGAGTGTTTGATCATAAAAGCCATCCCATTGTTTAGCTTTGTGATATTTTCCTGAAGGTCATTTGCAGTAACCTATTCAAAGAGAAAGAGACCAAAAAGGGGGTTTTACAGGCTGAAGTACTACTTACCAATAAGCTTATTCTTTCAAATGCATGATTATTTCTAACCCTAACCAAGGTACCTCTAGACATCTGATTCCAAAAACACTGGTTTTGGGTTCAGTAGGTTTCCACTAGATATGACATAATATAAAGAATTACCACGTGTCCCTGAAGCAACCAGGAAATCCATGAGAGCCAACTTCATTTCCTATTTCTATACCTCTATACATTTCTTTTTGTTTTGTTGGGGGTTTTTTTGTTGTTTTTTTTTGGTACCAGGGATCAAACTCAGGACCTTGTGTTTGTGAGGTGGGTAGTGGCACCACTGAGCTAAATCCCTGGCCCTCATTTTCTACTTCTGCTTGAAAATAGACATATAAGCAAAGTTGCACAAGAAAATCTAGTCTAGCATTCAAAACTGGAAAGGAAGAACGCTGCCTATACCAGCTATCAAGGACACGACCTCTTCAGAGAAACTGGAGTATCTCCAAAGACAAAGGAGAACTGTCACAATTGATACTAAAGGTGACATCTGTTTCTTAAAAATACAGTCAAATTGTTATTGATTCCCTTCTCTTGTTTCTCCTGCCTTTTTTAAAAAGTACTTCAGCACTTCCACTACGCCCAAACCCTCACCTCAGCATGAATCCTTGTATTTGATCTGGACCCCTTACATACTTTTTTATTTTTATAACCACAGTTTACACCTTTTCCATAGCTGCTCCTCAAATCCTTCATGATGAAGTTTGGTCTCCTTAATCTGGACAACTGGTGTTTCCTCTCCTCCCAACCCTCACCACAGCCTCTTCCTGGCCCAAAACTTTCTTTTTTTTTAAATCGTCCTTTAGTAGGTAAAATGTTCTAGACAACCTTTCTCCTTTACTTTCCTTTTCTTGTGTCTTATAATATCAAAAATATTTTCATACATCACTATAACCTATTTCTATTGTCTTCCCAGCAACCTTGTGAAGTGGTAAAACTACTAATATAATCAGTTTACAGAGAAGGAACCTAAGTATTAAAAGGTATAAAAATGTAGATAACAGGGCCAGGGATTTAGCCTAGTGGCACTGTGCCTGCCTTACAAGCACAAGGTCCTGAGTTTGATCCCTGGTGCCAACAAACAATTACAAATTTTTAAAATAAATAAACAAGACCCAAAAAACGATACTGAGGATATTGCTCAGGGATGCAGATCAGTAGCACGGTGCCTGCCCAGAATGCAAGGTGCACAAACTACAAGCTCCTGAGTTTAATCCCTGGTGCCAAAAAAAAAAAAAAAAAAA